TCTCTCTCTCTCTCTCTCTCTCTCTCACACACACTCACTCACCCCATCTCCCTCTCCCCGGGCGTAGCATTTTCGTAGACGGTAACTTTTCTCCCGAAATTTCAATATTTCCGGAAAAATGGGCTGTTCCAGACGATATGTTTCTTTTTATGCAGTTCAAGCTCCCCTTTTATGTTTAAGCTGTTCGGCATTCCCTTTTTTCAGTCTTGTCTGTTTTCGAAATTCTGTCATGTTTTCCCCTCTTGACCTTCAACTCATTTCCAAGGGATGGGCTTCTCTGTGATTTTTGTGAATACCTGATTTTATAGTCATGGCAGGTAGAGGGGCAACACGTTTGGTTTCATATTTGTCATAACCGTAACTTGTCTTTTCTTCTCGGGTCTTCTAATGTCATAAAAACACTCACGAGCACGTACCTACATTAATTCTTTCTCAGCCATCAGGCCGCATTTTCTGCCTTCAGAGTGACATGCTTTCTGTCTAGTAGGGCATTGACCTCCTATTACAGAACATAAAGAAAGAAAGCTCCGCATACTTTTGAAGGAGTTATGCTCATCCCTGAGTTCTGCCCTCGATCCCCCACTCACCCCCTTCTCCTTTTTTTTTGTTTTGTTTTTTTTGTTCGCTGGATTGTTTATTAAGACTGGTCTGAGCATTACTGTGTAGTTATTTTCTCATGATCTGAAATCTCCCTAACAAATGGTGGTTATTGAGTCGATGTGCTTCTCTGTCCCCCGACTTAAATCTTTGTAACGGCTCGGTATTTAACACATCACTTTTAACCTGACGCGGTTGGCGTGTTTTCCTCTATACAGTTGTTTTGAAAAGTGCAAACTTTTCTCTTCGCTCTTCGCAGCTTCATGGACAAGAATATTTATTTCGGCGAATTGGCTCGTTGCTTCGGGTTTTTTAAGTTAGTATCAAAGGGGAACCGAGTTCCTTATGCATAGGAGGCCGGGAAAAAGCCCAATTACTTGCTGAAAATTGATGTGACAAGATTCATTTGGCGTTGAGATGCTAGCGTGAGAGATCTTTAGACGGTTAGGTTTGTCATACGTTTGACCACACTTTTGCAAATACTGTAGTTGTGTAATCGAGCTAATTTCTTTACACCCCCCCAAAAAAGTTTGAGACGTTGCTTGTTTGTTCGTTTGTTTGTTTTTGGGGAGGGGGTACTTTAAAAAAAGAATTTGCAAGGATAAAACGAGGATAACAATTTTCGTTTCGAAGCTTACATAAAGATGACAAATGGGGAAAGTCTGAACAAATCAATAAATGGTTTCCCTTAATAGATTTATAGAAATTCCCAATTTGCTGGAACCCTCGCAAGGAGCCTCAATAATTCAAATCATGACATTTGATCAGGACTTTTGTGGGCGGTGTGTCGGAACCAAGGATGTATAGTGACCGGAAATGACATGTAAATGCCCGTGACGTCTGTGGCGCTTGTGATCTCAGTCGATTATGCGAAATGATGGTAATGCGATACTCGGGAAAATGGCGAGTGGAATAGCAACGAAAGCTCTTTGACGTCAAACAAGATGTCACCCGCTTCCCGTCGACTTAATTCAAAGAGAGAGGGAGAGAATTCTGTGCACTTGATTGGCCTTCCCTGTACTAACCCTTCGACCCATTGACATGAGCCTTGATTAACCCTGCTTTGTCTAATGTTCCCTCCCCTGACATTTGCTCTGTGCTGAATTTTGGGAGTGTTCATAAATTCCAAGAGAGTTGTGTCTGGTTGTTATGTATGTGTGTGTGTGTGTATGTGTGTGTGTGTTTGTGGTGTATGTGTGTGTGTGGTGTATGTGTGTGTGTGTGTATGTGTGTGTTTGTGGTGTATGTGTGTGTGTGTGTGTGTGTGTGTGTGTGTATGTGTGTGTTTGTGGTGTATGTGTGTGTGTGTGTGTGTGTGTGTGTGTGTGTGTGTGTGCATGAGCGGGTGTGGTGTGTGTTGTATGCTTGTAACCTCTGTGTATACTTTACGAATCTGAAATATGGCTGTAGTTTGAAAAAAATGGATCTTTTAAAACAGTAATTTTGATAGTGTTCCCCTTTTAATTCCAATGCACGTATATTCTTGTCACCATTGTCCCATTGAATTGCGTTTCTGACAGTCTTATCGGAGATGAGCTTTGAATCTGTGGTCTCGTCTTTTAGAATGATTATTCTTTGTGTATCTCCACTCCATGTTTCTATGAACAGTTTTTACTGCTGAAGAACGCTTTTTTTTGGTTGTCGTGCAGCTTTACCAATGCGTTTCTGTTCGCTGTGTGAGCTCACTTGTGTGTGTGTGTGTGTGTGTGTGTGTGTGTGTGTGTGTGTGTGTGTGTGTGTGTGTGTGTGTGTTTGCGCTCGTGCGTGCATACATGCGTGTGTTTGTGTGGACAAGTGTGTTGCTTTTTATACGTCATATACAAGGGTGTGTGCTTGTTCTAGTGATCCCGTGGAGAAAGTTTGTATATTTTCCTTTTGATTTTTAGTTTACAGAGTTGAAGTTGTTTTTTTTTTTCTTTTTGGCTCCAGCTGTGGTCCCCATGGCTTTTTTTGTCCCAACCTTTTGATTGGCTGTATTTATTTGACTGCCGTCCCTGGTCCTGGTGATTTCCTTTAGTTGTTATATTGCTCTCCTGCTTTGAACCCACACCTTATGCAGTGCTTTCTGGCTGTCAGTTAATACGTTTTCCCCAGTTCATTTTCGCTAATCAAGTAATGTCCGCTTTGATTGTACTCTTTGGGGTTTTTACGTACAAAATGTTTCGTTTTTGCCTTATATTCTTCATTTCCATACGTTTTCGCATCATACACGAATCTTCCTATGCTTTTGAATGGCTTCTATAATTTTGCATGGCAGCATGGATTTTACACAGCATGGCTTGATAGCAGTGTAATATGTTATATATTGTTGTTTTATATTAATCTCCTTCTGTGTGGGGAAACTTTCTTGTGGGTCCATAATTTTTGTAGGTACTTATGTGAAGTCCCCTATAGGTCGTAATTGTGTTTTCCTCTTTTGTTTCTTCGATAGCTCTAACTTTATCGCCAGTCTCACATGACTGTTGTTGTCCCTTTGTTTTCTCTTTTAACGCGAAAACTTGGGACTTGCAATGTACAGGCTTTTAACTTTACACTTCCACTCTTTTATTATTTCGCAACTCACTCACTCACTCACTCACTCACTCACTCACTCACTCACTCACTCACTCACTCACTCACTCACTCACTCAATCACACACTGACTCACTGACTCACTGACTCAACTTTCGTTTCGTCACTGACTCACTGACTCAACTTTCGTTTCGTTTCCTTTCGTTTCCTCTCTCTCTCTCTCTCTCTCTCTCTCTCTCTCTCTCTCTCTCTCTCTCTCAATTTGAAGTCTTTTTTACGCTCATTTTTAATTCTTTCAAATGTGATTTTGTATATGTGCATCATTGTTCTGATCGTAATTTTAATGTCTTAGTAACCGCATGTCTTAGTCTCCCTTCTTTCTTCCGTTGTGTGTGCTCCCGCCCCCCCGCCCAACCATACGAATCTGCTGTACTAAAAATAATTCTTGGTGCACGGAAAACATGCCATATATTCATTAACCCTTTTTAAGTAAGGCACATCTCTTCGAGTTCATGAGACATACGTCTCATTGCTTGTCGAAAACTTGAACCCCCTCTTTATACATAAATATCGATTGCGGCAGCGTTTTGATGATAAAAGACAAAAAGAGGGACCCAATAAGGGCATGGAAAGTATGAAGATGGGGGAGATTTTCTTCTGTTGTTTCTATTTGTCTATCTTGCTCTTTCCCCACTAAATGACCGTTACCAGGTGGATGTATTTCTCTTTACCCAAGCAAATCTAATCCAAATTGTGTCACAGTAAAACTATGCCTTCTGTTAAAGAGATTTTGTCTGAGACCTTTCCCCCCTCTTTGCTTCTCTTGAACTTTCTGTCTCGATTTAGCTGCTCTGTCTAGCATTTTCACTAGGGAGACTGGAACTAAGTGAAACGGAAACTAAGTGAAACGGACAGACACATTTTGTCTGCGTCTTTCCCCTTCATGAACCATGCACTTATAGCCCCAAATGGTTTAATGCTTATTTTATAAGGTTTTGTGTGCTACTAAGGTGGGTTGATATTAACATATTTGGCTCGTATTTGTTCGGCTTGATCTCCCTGTCCCTGTTGGTTCCATTATTCAACAAGGGAGTTGATGTTAACGTTTTTAGGAACTATTTTCAGTTAGGATTTTGCATTTTTTCACACTACTAGCCGTTGCTTTCACATGTATGTTTACTATGGGCTTTACTTAAGCATTTAGCAGAAGCTTTATCTAGACGCTTATTATTAGCTGACAGTAAGTTTTGGCTTCAATAAGAAAGAGATACAGGTATAAATGGCTGACGTTTACAGGAGCAATACAGATGGTTTAGGAAGTGCTTACAACACTTGAAGTGATGCTCTCGCAGTCTAAGTTTCACCCGGAGCAAGAACGTGCGCTGAACACTCTGAGTGACGAGACCGGCTACTCGGGTGCGTTGTGTGAGAACAGGGGTTGAAATGAGTTAGCAAAGGGATGTTGGATTCACTTTTCAGTAGGGTGGGACAGTAACGCGATGTCTGCTGTTGTCTATGAGCCATGAGTAGGGTGAGACAGTAACGCGATGTCTGCTGTTGTCTAGGAGCCATGAGTAGGGTGGGACAGTAACGCGATGTCTGCTGTTGTCTAGGAGCCATGAGTAGGGTGGGACAGTAACGCGGTATGTTCGCTGTTGTCTAGGAGCCATGAGTAGGGTGGGACAGTAACGCGATGTCTGCTGTTGTCTAGGAGCCATGAGTAGGGTGGGACAGTAATGCGATGTCTGCTGTTGTCTAGGAGCCATGAGTAGGGTGGGGCAGTAACGCGATGTCTGCTGTTGTCTAGGAGCCATGAGTAGGGTGGGACAGTAACGCGATGTCTGCTGTTTAGGAGCCATGAGTAGGGTGGGACAGTAACGCGGTATGTTCGCTGTTGTCTAGGAGGAGTACCCCGGCCCGGAGGACACAGACCCAGACGAAGTGGGCAGTGCCACGGCCTCAGACGTCGTGGGTGGTGATGAGGCCCTTGTGGAGATACTGGAGACAGAGGTCTGTGTGTGCGTGCGTGCGTGCGTGTGTGTATGTGTGTGTGTGTGTGCGCACACGCATGTGTGTGAGCAGGTGTGAGTGTTTGCTTTGATGTGTACGTGTGTGGGTGTGTGTAATATGTGATGTGTGTGTGTGTGTGTGTGTGTGTGTGTGTGTGTGTGTGTGTGTGTGTGTGTGTGTGTGTGTGTGTGTGCACGCTTGGGTATGCATGTGGAGAGAGAAAGAAAGAAAAAAGAAGAGACAGGTCTGCCTTATTTTTACACAATCCAGTCACAAATCTATTACAAAGGTATCCTTTGTGGCTGAAATGTGTTGACTCAGAGAAGACGGACTTGCGTTTTACACTATTTTGGTGCTGTGAATAAGGATTAACCACAGGTTTTTTTATCAACTGTTTTTTTTTTCTAACTCTACTAATATAGTAACATTATCTTGCAGGGCTTGTTAATATGTATCAGCCTTCTAGAGGCAAATGCAGGAGTTTTATCCACTCATTACAGGCCTAGCTGGCTGTAGCATTACAGGGTGGTATTACAGCTCTTTATACACACACCATAAGGGTTTGATTTTAAGCTTTTACTAATGCAAATGTTTGCTTTTTTAAAGGAAAATTTGCTGGAAAGATAATATTAGCTTTTGGCTTGCAAAATTTTGTATTTTAGAGTACTAGAAATGCATAGTAAAAGGGTTTTTATTGTTTATTCTTGTTGTGTTTTGTTAGTTTGTTTTGACATTAGCAACCTCATAATCTCAGTTAATCTGTGTTTTGTTTGATAATTGCATCTTACATCATACTGGTAATGAAGTTTGTTGTTGACATTATCTTTTGCACTACAACTATGTTACTCTTCTTGACTTTGCTCAATGGAATAACGTCAACTTTAAATACTCTGTCTCTATGGCAGGCCTCCTCTCAATTCCACTGGCTCTGATCCACCACTGTGTGCATCCACCTCTACTTCTGTCATTGTGCCTTCAAAAGCAAAGCATTTCAGATTGCCCCAGAAGCTTATTTCTCACCCAGAGTCTCTTCCCTACTGAAATCGAGTCCATTTGTTTTATGGCCTTCTTTGACTTCGTACTTCACTATGCTGCAGTAGATTTTTACTCAAGAAGGAAACATTCATCTTTTTATGTTCAAGTTAGATCATCCACACAGAGTCTGTTTCCTATATTTGTTTGAAATGGGGACTCCAGAGAGACTACTAATGTACAGGTGGTTTAAGGATGGGTTTTTTTCCTTCCTGATCTCTCAATATTTTAATATTTTTTGGCTTGCTTTCCCATTTGTCTTTATTTTTGCCCTTTTGCCTTTTTGCCTTGCTTTCTCCACCCCTTGCTCAAAATAAGCTTCATATTGTCTCATTTCTTGCTTGACTTCCGTCAAACCGTGCTAAATTGTGTGTAATGACAGTGTATGGTGCTCCTCACAGGTGGAGTCATTGAAGGACCGGCTGGAGCACACCCAGACAGAGCTGGACAAGGTGCATAAAGACAACATTGACCTCAAGTCACGACTGCACAAAGAGGCCACTCAGGTACAATTTCGCCCCCATTTTGATATACCTGTTGGGTTCTCATATTGTCATAGGACGAAAGTAAAATGAACTCGATAGTGTTTCACCCTTTTCTTTTTTTGTAAGTGTTTTACGGCGCTTGCAACTGCGTATGGTCATATGAGCAGGCTGGACACATTAAACATTATCAGTAGGTGGGAAATTTTGAATTTTATCGGGTGGCAGCCAAAGCCTACTCTTATTGATTTTGGACCACCAAGGGATCTTTAACCTGCGCAACTTGTACACAGGACCTCCGAGATTTTTTTCACCCTTGTTCGAGAAGGCTAGGTGTAGATCTTTTGTACCATAAGATCAGGGGTGTGGCTGAAAGACAGCAGTAAGAAGGCCAAGGAGTAGCAGTAGAAAGGCTGCAGAAAGAGTCAGGGAGCCCAGAGGAGAAGGCAAAGGAGGTAAGGGGGTGGGGGCAGAAAGTGGAGACAAAAGCAGATGACATTTTTAGAGAGCAGGAAAGGATGTGAAATGAAAAAATTTAGTGAAAAAAGTGTTCTGTTGTTGTCAAGATTCAAACCCGGGACTTGTTGAATGTGGTCTTAACCTGTAGACCACAAGAGCCCCCTTCACCTTTTCAATTACTTACTGGTTTTGATAAGGGCACTAAACACATACGCTAAATAATGTTTAAGAAAATCCAGAATGAGAGAGAAAAAAAGTGCAGAAAGTCCATTACCACTGAAGTGGCATAAATGAACTCTCGTGAATGTGGTGAGTACTTCCCTTGTCTTAATTGTGACTGTTACTATTTTTCCAAGAGTTTTAGTTTTTTACCTCTATAGGTGAAAGATTTGTCTGTGTTTCTTGTGTTCTCCCCCATACCCACCTGTGTCTGTTTATTTTGTAATCTCCTTTGTATTTAGGTCTTCCTTTGTGGTTTGTTATGTTCCCTGCTCACTTTATACATAGATCTCCCCTTTTCACAGAGTGTGGACAGCGGCTACAGTACTGGAAGTCGATGGGCACAAAACTCAAGTCAGAACGAGGTAATCAGTTTACAGTAAAAATCTGCTGCTCTTTAGGGAATAGATTCCTGGCAGGTGGGCAAATTTTATAGACCTTGTCATAAGTTTCATTGAACCCAACTGATCTTCAATTTCACTACAGAAACATGAAAGTATTTTTACTCTTAGATATACCTTGTATTCTTGTGTTACAACCATTTTCTGCTTGTCAACGTGAAGAAAATTGCACGAGTTTCATGGGGGGACTGAAGTATCGTACTTTATATTTAGTACTGTATTTTCTTTTCCAAAAGCAAAAGTTTGACATTATGGCTACAGTACAGTACAGCATTACCGAACTTAGCTTTGGAGGGAGTGGGGTGGTGCAAAAAATAGATGCTTCGCAACTTTTAGGAGTTAAAACCCCTCTCATGATGCAATTGTACATATGAACCTCTGTGCCCAGACGTTTGTCAGTGATATTTTTCCTATTGTTTATTCTCTACCTCCATTATTTCTTCTTTCTTTCCTCCTTTTTTATTATCCCCCTGGGAGCCAAGTGCTCTGATTTGGAAAAGATCTGTTTGCGTCTAGAGTGACATTATACTCCTGTTAGAAAGGTAATCTGCTTCTCAACGATAGCAACACAAAGTTATCAGATGGTTTTGCATTGTGTTTGCAGCAGCAAGGCCTGAAGCGTCAGCTGAAAGAGTCACGGGATGTGGTGCAGAGGCAGCGACTTGACATTGAGAGCTTAAAAAGTAAACTGGATATGTCTGTTTCCAAACTGACCGGCACTGAGAAGGCTTTATCAGAGGCTCTCCGTGACTACAAACAAGAGAAAGACAAAGTGAGTAGGGAAAGGGTTTTATTTTGAGGTGTTCAGTATCCTTTTTACTTTGTAGGAGTAGTGTTTTTCCTTCATTCTCCTCCCTGATCTCTCCTCTTGTGTTTCAACCTTTTTGTCTATGGAATGGTCAACTAAAGGACCTTCAAGTTCTAGAACAGCCACTTTTTGTATTGTACTTAATAGTCCTACAAAGTCTCAGTGCCTCTCATTTTTGAGGCAACTACATGCTGATTTTTAAAGTGCTCTGTAATAATAAGAACCAACAAAAAGACTCCACAATGTTGGGTAGGGATTAATGTAGAGTTTTGCTGCTTAAAAGTATAATTTTTACTAGGATTCTCTAACTTGTTCTGTCACCTCAGTTTCTGAAAATGAGCTCTGAGTGGAACCGGCGCATCCGCACCATGGAGAGCCAGTCCAAGGACAGCCTTCACAAGTTGGAACGCAACCGTGAGACCCTGCAGGCCAAGGAGAGAGAGTGCCGGAGACTGGAGGCCGAGGTGAAGAACAATCTGCAGCGTATGCGGGAACAGGAGAGGGAGATCCTCAAGCTGAAAGCTGTGGAGCACGAGTACAACCTGCTGAAGGTCAGGGAATGAATCGATGAGGAATGCATGGTCGTTACTGCTGATTTTTTGTTTTGATATTTATAATCCCCTATTTACTTTCAAATCCCCCCTCTCTGTCATTCTGTCTCTCCCTTCCTCTCTTTCTCTCTCTCTCTCACACACACACATGTACACACACAAACGACACACACAAACTCAGACACACATACACTTTACACTTACATGCTCTCTCACACACACACACACACACATACACACACACACACACACACACACACACACACACACACACACACACACACACTCTCTCTCTCTCTCATGTTTGTTAAGACTACATGCACAGATGTACATAGGTATGTACTAAGTTTTCTTATAGGACTTGTATTAATCTCAGTTGTTTGGAGCGACTCTAGTGTGATCTGATTTTTCATGTGCACAAGACTTTTGTTGTTTGAAAATTCTTTGAAACATTCAAATAGAGCCCAAAAGTTTTTTTCATGCCAAAAATGTTGTAAACATTTTTACATAGGAGAAGTTGGATGACCGTGAACAAGAGCTCTCAGGTCTGCGGTCGGAGCTGAAGGAGAAGGATCACTTGACCAAGAAGACGAAGGATGAGTATGAGCGCCACCTGGAGGAAATTGACAGAGAGTACAGCAGGGAGCGGGACGACCTTGAACTTCACCTGGAACAGCTGAAATCAGAGCTGTACTCGGCCCATGATCGCCAGGCGTCCATGACTGACAACATGACCTCAGACATGACAGAGATGATCAAGGAGAAGGATGACATCATTGCCCAGCTCGAGGAGAAGGTATAGATTTATATGCCCAGCGACACTGTGTTTATACTGCTTCTGAAATGCGATGATATGTTTTGAATCAATTGCTAAAAATGAAGATTAGCTATGTTTCAATGATGGCTGTTTTCTGTGGAGATTAAAGAAATTTATTCACGTTTGTTTAGCTTGTTTGATTAAGTTATCCATGCCCTGTTTTCATTCATGTAACAGAATATTTGATTTACTCAAGAAAAAATGTTTCAAGTAGAAAGCTTACATTATTTTGATTTTTTTTTTTTGTGGGGAAGAGTTTCACACTCAAATTTTTTGCTTCTTGAGATATTTTTTTAGTCTTCATCTTTGAACTCACCTGGCCCCTCTTTCTCATCATTATTTAAACGTTTGCTGTAATTACTTGGCAAAAGTTGTGGATTTATTTCTGTCAGAGTAATTTTCAACAAAGTAATTATATACTCTCTGCAACAGATGATTGAGACTGACAAACGACTGATTGAAATGTCAGAAGAGCTGCATGCAGAGATGGGGGAGAATGCAGAAATGGCTCATAGTATGGAGATGCTTCAGGGGGACAAAAAGAAGCTAATAGGCACCATGGAAAAGCTGGAAGCGCAGCTCATGGCTGTGCGCACCAAGGTACGACTTCATCATCATTGCTTTACTCACCCCGGATCTGGGTGTAAGCCACTGGCAAAGACTTTTCATTTTTCTTGTCCTGGGCTAGTTTCCTGACATTATCGCGTGTCTTTTTACTTTTCTGTACTTCATTCTCTCTGACACTTCTCTGGCTGGGTACTGCTTGACAAGGGTTTTCCTTTTTTTCCATCGACTTAAGATGCATTACCTCTTTTAAAAATAATTCTTACAAGTCTCCTTGACTTGGTATATTGTTCCCTGTAAATAGCTGTTGGTGCCCCACTGTGCTCAGCTCCTAGTTTGTTTCTGACAAGATGTAGCAATTATTTTGAGATATTCCAACGCAACTTTCATTGGATATTGCAATAATTCACTCTGTAGCAAAGTGTATGGCATGATAGGCATGGATATTAAGTGATTACTGATTGTTTTAGTCAATGCAGCAACCTTCTGACAAGTGCCTGCTAATTAATGCCATGTCACTGGTGATAGTTGTCATTATTTTTCCTCATTACTGATAAGGCCTTGTTCCAGACCTGGACTATGAAAAATAGTTAAATATTGTTCCAGTGTTTGGCTACAAATTCACACACATGGAAACCTACTCTTAGAGCCAATGTCCCTTTTTGCAATGCCTGGTTGCCTTTGAGCTGGGAGACAGGGAGAGTTGTTTCCCAGTTGCTTTTGTTGATTTCTGTTACTGCTGCCTCATTTTTTTTCTGAGTATGAAGACATGTTTGTAAAATAATGTCAGTGGACTCTGTTGAAAGAGATGGAAAGCTCAGTCCTGCGTAAAGGACCTGTTGCACTTGGAAACCAAACTTTTTGTCTATTTTAAAATATGATTTATGAATCCAAAATTTCAAAGACAATGTCTTTTGATATACTGTGTTTGAAATATTCATTACTTTGAGCACTTGAGTCTGTATGAATCCTAAAAGGAGCTCAGTCTGGTTCATCATGTATGTAACTTTGCCATGGGGAGATACTTGAGACTCATCTATGAAACTGATTTTGCAATATCAAACAGAGCCAAAAAGTACCTCCTAATGATTGTTTTTTAGGAAGGTGTAGAAAAGTAGTTTCTCGGGTCTCCGTTTTCAGAAATTGTTTAGTGTCTTTCTGATCTAAATGACGCTAACCATGCTCCATTAAACCAGTCAAAAGTGCTACTTTTCATTTACATTCATGGTTCTTACTTTCCTCTTGACAGGTGTCGGGTTTTGAGTCTGAAAATGCTTCCCTGAAAAAGCAACTGGAAGAGTTGCGCCGTGAAAACAGCCAGTTGCAGCGAAGTCTGAGCAGTGTACAGTCCTCCAGCAGGGACGGAGCCGCCTCAGAACAGGAGCGAGAGAGGCTGCAGAAGACAATAGCAGACCTAAACTCGGAGATCACCAGTCTTCAGGTATGGCGTCTCCAACGCTTCCACTATATTAGACATCACATGTGTGAAAAGACGTCATACGATGAGCCAGATTTGAGTTATGCACCTACTTTTGAGGGGTCTTAAAGGCTCTTTAGGTAGCTGAAAGTCTAGGGTAGAGCTTGTTTCTTGCATCTGTTGCTGTTTATGTTGCCCAAAACTTCTTGTTCTATGGGTTCACATTCGATGCCCGTGCTGCAAACGTTAGACTAAGAAGGAAATGGTCAGACTCTGATCTAGGGATTATTTCAAATGCTTTAATTTCCTCCTGAAACCCATCCATGCTTACAATGATGTCATCATTGCCTTTCTCACCCTGGGTCAGGATATAGGCCACGAACAAACACTCTCCACCTTTCCCTATCCTGGGCTAGTCGCTTGATGTTACTCCACGTCTTCCCACTTTTCTGTACATCCATTTCCGTGACTCTTCTCCAGGTTCCACGAGGTCTTCCCCTTGATCTTTTACCCTGTGGGTTCCAATCTAACACTTTTCTTGTTATGCAGCTGCTTGACTTCCTGAGAGTGTGTCCAATCCATCGCCCATGTCTTCTTCCCACCTCATCTCTGACTGGGCTCTGTCTGGTTCTTCTTAATACTTCCTCGTTGGTGATCCTGTCTGTCCATTTGATCCTCAGTAGCTTCCTCAGGCACTTGTTTAAGAAAACCTGGATCCTCTCTATGCTCATATGGGATGCGTTCCAAGTCTCACATCCATACAACAAGACTGACTTCACATTTGAGTTTAAAATTCTAAAATTTGTTCTTAATGAGATATCCCTGGTCCTCCAAATCCTGTTCAAAGAAATAAATGCAATGATGTAATCTAATTTTAATCAGAGACTGCTTAGGAAAACTTAAATGTCGATAGTGTTAGATATCTGACAGACTGCATTTCTAAATATATCTTGGGCGACTGATGCCTTGAAAGGGAAGAAATTTGACAACCTACAAATTATTGTGAAGTCCCATGAGCGTCAGGATTTAAGGGATAATAATAATAATAATAATAATAATAGATAGCATTTGTATTACGCAAATCCCCGCTCAACAGCAGGCTCTATGCGCTTCACAAACTGTACTGTTACCCCAGCAGACCTGACAGCATTCAGAAACAACCTCAACTTCCTGGGAAGCATACAGTGCAAGCGGCCATTTATAGGCGCTAAAACACTAACATACTGACAAAATCTTTCACTGTCTATGGCCGGGTACCCATTCCCACCTGTGTGAAGTGTGGAAAATTTGGTTAAAGTGCCTTTCCCAAGGACACAACGTTGGACCCGCGGCTCGAACCCCCCGATACACAATAATAAATGACCTTTTTGACTTTAACCATAAGAGATATGATATTATGTTTCCTGCATTTTTGGTAGTGTAAATTGTGTTTAATTATGGAACCTCACACTTATGTATGAACAGTATGTCTTTCTTTAAGCTGACTGATTCAGCAGGATGTTAGTAGAGATTAGAGTCCTGACTGGAGCTTTTAGATGTCATTGACTTTAATTGTCATATAGCGTCACAGTTTTGTCATTGTGTGTATTAGATTCTATGTATCATGAGCCATAAGCTCAAACTTACACTGCATCTCACTGTCCCATTTCTCCCAGGCACAGCTTGACCAGGCAGAGGTAGTGGCCGAACGGTCAACTGGTGTAGAAAGAGGCTCCAGCTCTATCAGCAGCATCTCGAGCGTGTCCAGCGACCACCATCAGGACCTTCTGCACACAGTACTACTGGCTGACTCACGCCTCAAGGAGGTGAACGCCATGCTGCTGAAGCTGCGGCATAACTTTGACTCCTACCTTGACTCCCTCACTGATGAAGGCCAGCGGCAAGCAATTGTCTTGGCTGATTTCATTGAGGATGTTGGTCACAAATGTCAGGATATTCAGGACACTCTGAGAGACTCCCAGGATGGTCAGCCATCCTCTCCACCGTCACAAGATGGCGACTACAAACATGTGGTGACAGTCACTGCGCTGTCCGGGGGTAAGGCTATCATGGAGGAGTACAAGGGGTTGAAAGTGAAGTTTGACCAAGCAGTCGTGGAGTTGAGGAAAGTGAAGAAGGATTTTAGTGACCGTTCCGCTTCATATGAGTCCCTCCGTCAGGAGGATCGTAAACTGAAAGAAAAGGTGGCTGTTATGGAGGGGACATACAACCGGGAGCTTGTGCAACTCATCGCCCGTGTGGATGGGCTCAGTCACAAAATTGTCAATGTGCAGACACAGTCCACTGCTCCTTCGAGCTCTTCACTCCGGGATACATCTGCCACTGTGATCAAAGACATTGAGCAGCAGCTGCAAGATTTGGACAGCACAATTTCTTCCTTAGAGCAGCAGGCAGCCAGCCTGTCTCCAACTGTTGCCTCTTCATCTTCCAGCAGCTCCCTCAGTGGACAGCAGGATCTGTCCATCAAACTGGAGGCAGTCCGCTCTCAGCTGGAGGACACCAATACCAAACTCAAATCTCTTGGCTCATCTTTGTCTTCATCTTCCTCAGGCCTTGTCTCGAAAGTGGAGGCCTACAAGGGCAGGCTTGGTTCCTTGTCACAATCCCTGCAGTCTTCGTCTGTCTCCTCGAATAAGGCAACTGCTGTGAGTGTGCCGAACTCGGGCAGGGCCTCATCAGCATCTGAAAGTGGTGCAGCCTCTGCAGGTGTGAGCTCGTGTCTTCTGCAGATCAAGGAAAAGATTCAGGAGATTGGTGAGCAGTTGGACTCTCTGGAGGAGGACGGAGAAGACTCTGACAGTGATGAGGAGGACAGTGAACAAACGACAGTGGAGGACATTCGTGAGAAGCTGGCCAGCCTGACTGAGTTTGTGGAGCAACACTCAAAGATGTCCAGCTCAGACTGGGAACTGCTGAGACTTCTGACTCTGCATAAAGAGGTTATTCAGAATAGCAGAGAGCCCATGGAGACAGATTCAGTCAGTGATGAACACAAACTGAAGCTGTATGCAGACCGTCTTTCGTTAGAGGCTGTGATTCTCTCTGAGATGGCCCACATCTTACAAAGCAAAGATCATCTGGTGCCAGAGGACTCTGTGAGCCGGCAGATTGATGCTCTGAGCAGTCAGCTGTTGTCTTTGCACCACACACTGGACACAGAGATGAAGACCATGCACTTCGAAGACCCACAGGCTGATCTGCTAGCCTCTTATGCAGAACTTGTGGCAGAGAAGATCCTGGTGAATAGTCAGCTGTGTAGCAGCACGTTTGATCAGCGAACTCACATGGCAGTGTCAGGCGAGGCGCCTTCATCTACTGTTCAGCCTGTACTTTTGGCCACAGAGGCTATCCTCCGCTCTCAGGTCGACTCCTGTATCAACGGCAACTTTGACCGCTCTGCGGACGAGTTGTTGGTTCTTCCTACGCACCTCACATCACGTACCCTCATTCAAGGGGAGCTCACCTACGCTTTAGCCAGTCTGAAGGATCGTCTGGCAGCGCAGCCAGAGGTCTTGCAGCCAGGTCTGGCCAGCTATCAATTCATGTTGAATCGAGTTCTTGAGCGGCAGCAAAAGGTCATGGCCTCTATCGAGTGCTACGAGCGGCAACTGACACACTCCTTAGCTGTGATCATCTTCAAGGAGAGTGAGGAAATGACGATTGTTGAGGGCCCTGAAAGTGTTCTTGAGGCCATGTGCTCTGAACTCTCCACCATCATTGAAACACACATTCAGCGGTACAAGGAAAAGTGCCGCGCTGCCATGGATACGCATTCCGCACGTAAGTATGACATCATTGTCAACGAGCTCCGGTGTGTTCGAGAGGCCATGTTGGCCCAGATCAAGTCTCAGCATGAAGCGTATGCTCGAGATCCAAGCTCTGTACGAGACTCCAGCTTAGACATTCCAGTCCAGTCTCTGGACAGCACCATCAGCAAGTTTGGGGAGATTCTTTCCCTGAAGGCCGTTGCGAATGCCAGCTCAAACTTCCTCTCTGAGCTCCTGAAAATGGGCAGCTCCGTGTTGGAGGACCTTGAACTTGAGCCTGACTCAAGCAGTGATGACAGTTTGTGTGTGGAGAAAGGACTCAACAGTTTTGTGCTAGCTTTAAGCCAGGCTCTCCAGTCGGAAGCTTTGTCCAAAGAGACTTTGTCACGTCGCCTCACGGTGCCCTCTAGTCAGACCAGTGATGGGGACGAGACTGAAGGGGAGAGGGAGGGTTTTGTACTCCGTGTTCCAGACCTCTCTCACTACCCAGACCAGCTGGGGGCCCGAGCTGGCAGCCTGGTGCGGGAGTCTGTGTTCAGCGCCCAGCTCACGCTATCGTTGTTCAAGCAGAAGTTATTACACGCACGAGAGATGAGTCAGCTGAAGGCTCGGCGGCCGGTCAGAGTCCGGCCAGAACTCAACCCAGAGGAGAGTCACGACTCTGATGACACGCTTGACTTACAGACGGACTTCCAGGTGAGAAATGGAACATTGAAATATTAATAGCTCTGAGCTTTCTTTTTTTGTCAATGCTTTCCAGTGTCTACATTTAGCTGTTTCCATGAGGTCATCTTAAGTGTTTTTCTCTCTGTCCAATGAAAAGTTAATGGTTGCTGTGATGAGGTCTGCTCTTTCTTTTCTGTGTTTACTTTTTCCTAATCCTTTAAAAAATCAAATGTGGCCATTATTGTGCTGAGTTGACATAAATGAAAGCAGACTCTTTTATTTCCATCTACTGGAAGTGAATTTTACTTGTTCCTACAGAGGTTCCTATGAACCTGTTGATAAAGGAAGGATTCCACTAGTAGGTGATGATTGCTTCTCCTATTCTTAACAGCTCTCACTTTTTTCCAACATGACTTTGACGTCTGGGTGTCAATGTGCTTCTGTCACTAACGTCAAATCGAACATTCATTTACAAGCATTGGATATGCTGATTGTTACCTGGACTTCCTTCTCTTCCTTGCTTTCTGTACTCAGGTGCATCCTTTCAGACTGTAAACTTTTTTTACTGTACTTCTGTTGCTTCTGTCTGTCTTCTTGGTGCTTTCCCCTCTATAATGACAGTAATCTTTTTGTAGTGATCCTTTTTTAACTTGCACACAAATTTTTTAATTCAATAGCTTGTATGTTTTTTGTCTAGCTGGTGGATGGTGAGTAAAGAGTCTTTTTGTGTGATTTTCTCATTCAACATCTTTTTTCTGGTGGTTTGGCGCTTCGCCGTCGCATGCATAAGACCCAAGTTGGATTCCCATGTGGGGAGAACTTGTTATTGAATAGCTCAGACTTTCTGTTTGGATGTTGAACCCCCTCAGACAGAGTTGGCCCTTACAGGCAAGGCCCAAGCCCGTCTTCTAAATTATCTAAATTGTGATGATTGGGGCATAAAACACCAACATTAATGGATAAATATTATTGATGATGATGGTCAAACATGCTCACTAAACGTGCATGTGTTAAAGAGGTCAGTTGGTATGTGATCCAAGGTGGTCAGCCCCTCCTACTTATTTTCAACTGGGCTCTTACTCTATTCTGTTTTAGGAAAAATTTGATGGTTATTAGGCTTGCAGTATATGTGGATCATTGGAGGGTACCATCGGTAGGTCTTACTTCAACTTCTTTTCTTTCCATCTGTTGTTTCTATCAGTCTAAATTTTACTGTAATTGTGTTGATGTGCTTCTATTTTGTTAAATGAATGGGCTGACAATGTATTCTATCATTCGATTACAACAGTATAGTCCTACTGTTTTGAAAGTAAAGGTAAAATCTATATCTTAACAATCGTCAGAGATCACAGCCGACCATGTTCAGTTTCTGTGAGAAGAAGATCAACCCTAATGTTATCGCCATGATGACCTCGTGTCTGCATAATTGGTCAAGTCAGTTTTAAAGGAGTTGGTTGTCCAAATTTACTTTTACTATTTTGAACAACGCTACTACTTTCTTCCGTGTGCATCTGCTAGGCTTTGCTGAGCCCTCTAGAGGAAGTCCTGGAGAGCAAACACGAGGATGAGCTGGAGGTGCTGCAAGTGCTGGTTGGTCTGACCTCACAGCTCAAGGTCAATGTGTCAGAGAGCAAGGTCGCGCTGGAGGAGCAGGTGTGTCAGCTGGAGCAAAAGTTGCAACACGAGCTGGAGGTGGCCAGACAGAGGCACGACACACACCTGGAGGTCTTCAAACAGGTAATGGTGTTGTTCAGAGATAGAGGAGGGGTGGGGGTGATAGAGAGATAAATACAGACCTGCCACTCATCCCGATTTAATCGGGATATCCCGATTTTTTGCCCCAAATCTCAAGTATCCCGATTTTCCCGGTTTCGATCGCCAGTATCCTGACTTTTTGTCGTTGCGCCTTTTGCGTCTGATTCTTAGAAAAAAATATTAAAAGTTCTGCAATCTCTTTTGTTTGGAAGGACCGATTAGACTTTTTATCGGCAGGAACTTGAAACCCTATTTTCTAAAATGTCAATGTCGGATCTAGTAGATGACACAGGCACGTTATTTCAACTAAATTCTAAGAAGTATTGATTTTGAATTCCAACTGGTATGCACTCAAGATCTACTTTCGCTTTTATTACCCAGAATTCTCCGATGGTGGCCTGATTACTGTAACAATTTTATTGTATAGGCCTAAGAATAATCTATTTGTTGTTGTGCCGTTACTTTAAATGCAAGCTTAGTCTGAGTGCTGGTTTGTTGGGGCCCATCATGAAGACCTGTCAGTGGAACTTTGAAACGCTCGTTAGCATCATGTGACATGACCTCGTATGTGTGAGTAGCGCGTGTGTCGGGGACCGTTGGCTGTCAGGGTCAACAAAGTTCATTCAAACTGGTCACATTGGTAGAGGTGTTGTTCGGGACTTGACCTGTGGGGAAGGGGGCGTCCAGGTTGTTGGTTTTTTTACACTTACGCAAGTGTGTGCCGATATACATGTACTATGTACTAATTGAGGGGAAAAGAATAAGAAAAACAAATATGAACAACCTTGGCTCGATCTTTTTTAGGGGAAGGGGGGGGGGGGTGCCTTGAGTGTACATGCGATCAAAGTCAAACGTTGTTACTGTATGAAAACGCTGGCTTTTTGCATGGATGATTAGAGTTATGTGTACGCTATTTTCAAGACTACATGAAAGTTTCAGCATTACTGCAACCTGCGCTCCCCCAGTCTATCCAACTCCGACTCGAGTACAGATATGCTGTCTGTCAGTTTTCCCTCTATTTAGAGGCCCAAATGTGAACTTGTACCTGCAAAAGTTTTGTCCTGCATACTTGCCTCATAAAAGGGAACCAGGACCTTCCCCCCCCCAGTGCCCGTTATGACTGATTTGCTGTTGATCACGATTTTTTTCACCAGATTCTGATTTTTTAAACTCTAAAATCCTGATTTTTAGATTTCATAGAGTGGCAGGTCTGGAGAGAGAGAGAGAGAGAGAGAGAGAGAGAGAGAGAGATGTTTAAAATTTGAGGGGGGGAAGGAAGGAAGAGGGAGGAGAGAGCGTTTAGTTTCTTTTCTTCTTTAATAAATCTTCACCGAGAAAAGAGAAGAATGCATCAAACTTCTCGAAGATAAAGTTAAAGGTACATGTTGCACACAAGCATTAAGGATAGAGTGCTTCATTTCATCATAAGTTGTCTTAAATTTTGGCTCTCTGAAAGTACAGTCGAACCTGCCCTGACGGCCACCTCTATAAGACGGTCACCTGTACAAACGGCCACTTTCCATTTCCCCCCTTGCGTTTTTTCTATATAATCTAACTATGTAAAACGGGCACCTGTCCGCCGCGGCCACCTTATTTCAACACACAACCCCTATCACACTAAGCAATAACACCCGTCTAAGACGGCCACCTTAGTGACTCCATTTCGTTTAGTCATAAATTGTGCTTTCGCCCCTGGTGTTGTTGGCAAGCCGTCATAATTCAATCCCCTGTCGCTGTTGTTAGGTAGTCCCTCCAACCGATCATGTTGCGTAGGCCCCTCCTACTGTTGACCAATAGCTACCAATTTTCAGCTGCTGGTGAGGTAAGCGTGTGATCCCTCATAACCCATAAGCCCCGCCCAGAACTTAAACACAAATCGTAAGCGAGATGAGTGGTCACTGTTTACCCAGTCTGTAACAAAGTAACAAAGGACGTCAACTTGAACTTGTGACAGAAACGTCGCTCGTTCTCCGAGTGGTGGCGACACAGGAGTTTGTTTTTACTTCGCACTCGGTCTTCCTTGTCTGATACATTTCGTTTTATTGTCACCCTTTTGCGATTTCAACAAAATAAAAATTACAAACAAAATACAAACCACCACCACCACCACCAACAAAAACAACAATGCGGCTACTTTCAATTTGGACCTCTGATAGGAATAATTTGTTTTCTTCTTCTTGATCAGTCCTGCCTAAGACGGCCACCTGTCTTATACGGCCACTTTTCTCCTTGACAATGGGTGGCCATCTTACGCAGGTTTGACTGTATAGTTTATCTAAGGTAGAATGGCACTGAAAATGAATGTGCTTTGTTTAAAGTTCCTGGTAAATGGTTAAACAGAAGCTCCCCTTTATTTTAGTTGTACAGTTGTATTAATTCCAGTTATGTAGAATATTTTGAACTATCCATTTGTGTCACGACGTGGTGGAATCAGGCTCTCATCAATGTTTGGGCATATCGGGTTATTGGTACCATCTTAAAGCCTGTTCATTTGCCTTCCTTTTTGGTGAAAAAAATATCCATCTATGTTGAATAGAAGTCGAAATATTTGCGATTGAAGGAGATCAGTGTCGCCTGGTTTCAAAGGTAAAATTGTCGAGAAATGGCCGCCAACGGTTGGTAACTTCCATAGCCTGAGAGTCATTGGAAACCGAAAATTTACACATTGTGTGCCTTTAATCAATGTTTTTCTGTAAAATCTGCACACAAATGTGTTTTTAAATAGACATAAAAGGAGTTGAGCCAAAAAAAAGAAAATTTGAAGAAAATTGCCCTTCTGCCAAAAAAATGCCGATTTCTTTGATTTCATTATTTTGACGAGCGCCTGATTCCACCACAATGCCTCAGATTTATATTTGAAGAGTTTAGAAAACAGTTTAGATGTAATAGATTTTTTTCATTATTTAATTGTTTTCTCTAGTTTCTCCCAAAACAATTATATTTTCTTTCCAGTGAAACTTTGTCATTGTGTTTAATAAATCCTGTGTGTGCAATAAACTAGCAGGAATGTTTGGTTGTGCCTGCCATGGATTTTCTCTATTGCCCTGTATTTGCCCATGTTCTATATTCTCCATTGTCTTGTATTTGTCATACTTCTATATTCTCCATTGTCCTAGTTCTATACTCTCCATTTCCCTGTATTTGTCCTCCTTTTCCCTTTATCTGTCCTAGTTCTGAATCCTCCATTGTCCTGTATTTGTCCTAGTTCTGTATCCTCCATTGTCCTAGTTCTGTATCCTCCATTGTCCTAGTTCTGTATCCTCCATTGTCCTAGTTCTGTATCCTCCATTGCCCTGTATTTGTCCTAGTTCTGTATCCTCCATTGCCCTGTATTTGTCCTAGTTCTGTATCCTCCATTGTCCTGTATTTGTCCTAGTTCTGTATCCTCCATTGTCCTGTATTTGTCCTAGTTCTGTATCCTCCATTGCCCTGTATTTGTCCTAGTTCTGTATCCTCCATTGCCCTGTATTTGTCCTAGTTCTGTATCCTCCATTGTCCTGTATTTGTCCTAGTTCTGTATCCTCCATTGTCCTAGTTCTGTATCCTCCATTGTCCTAGTTCTGTATCCTCCATTGCCCTGTATTTGTCCTAGTTCTGTATCCTCCATTGTCCTGTATTTGTCCTAGTTCTGTATCCTCCATTGTCCTAGTTCTGTATCCTCCATTGTCCTAGTTCTGTGTCCTCCATTGGTCTAGCTCTCTATCCTCCATTGCCCTGTACTTGACCCTGTCTAGGAGTCTCACAAGCTTGAGAAGACCCTGGAGGAGCAGCAGCAGGACCGGGAGCACTACGAGGAGCGCAGCGTCCAGCTGGAGGAGGAGCTGACCAGCATGCAGCTGCAGCACGAGGAGGAGAAGGAAAGGGTCAAGCAGGACATTCTGACCGCAGTGCACGCCATACGCAACAACGACGAGAAGAGCGAGACACACCTCATAGAGAAGGTCTCCAAGCTCAGCAAGGAGATCGCCCTGCAGAAGCTCAGTTTCAGGGTGAGCTTCGATAAATTGTCGCGGAATGGGAGAGATTTTTTTTATACACAGTTCTCACTTATAGCATACGAATGTAGGAATGCAGTTGTGTGTTTGCACATTTGTGTGTCCACCTGCATATACTCATATTTAGAAATAACAGATCTTGTCATGTTTCATTGATGCTTTCTCGGAAGCTGAAAGTTTCAAAATGATAAAAGGATTTGCAGTGGTAATTATGTATTGGAAAAAATATCCTTTGAAATGGATATGCTCTATATAAATGCAATCCATTATCTAATTTTTTTTTCATTTCATAGGTTGCTTGCAATAGTTATGGCACTTTTACTCGCACATGGTCATATCACATTTTCTCTTTCTTATTGCCACTTACTTGATGCATTTTAAAATTATTTATCAGAAAACATTGGGAGCGCTGAAGAAAGAGGTGAACTCAAAAGAGAAAAGTTCACTGATCCAGAGCATTGAGGAACACATCAGCTCTATCTCACTCAGCGCAGAGGATGAGGTAAGCCTAGTTTGTCCAATTCTGGTGTGCCTTACATTTAGTCAAGAGCTGTTTTTTACTCTGTTGCTTAAATAAATACACGATGTTGTTGTAATTTGTGTCTGAATGAATTCAGTAACATTTCTTCCAAAGTCTGGTGGTAGAAGGTCTCTCTTTACATCTGCAGTCAACTTCTTCCATGCCTGGTATTACTGTTGTAATCTCTTCTTCTTGAAACAGTGCTTTTGTTGTGTTAACTTATCAATGAACTACCCAATTAAATTTTTTTTAAAAATTTGTATAGGAAGGAAGAAAGAATGTTGTTTTGATGTTGAGTCTGGTGCTTGGATAGTGCTACTCTCTGGTCCTGGGGACTCTCTATGTCATGGTGGCTGTCCACACACTTTAGAAGACTGTCACTTATTGTGGTGGGCAGTCGGTGGGCACTGTGATGTGGTCTTCCCTTCTTTGTTCATTTCAGTGATTCTGTTGTCCTAATGTGTTCTTTGCATATTGTTCCCTTCATTGTGCTGACTTGCCAAAGCCTTAAATCAATAGCAACAACCACAAAGACATAATTACATAGTGTTGATAATGTTAATCATTTTGAAACTGATCTGGTCTTCTTTGGTGCAGGTTCCAGACAGTGCTACTGACTGAAGTGTCTATAGGCCTTTCCCAAAGGGGAAATATTAACATGTTCTTATGCACAGCAGAATAGTAAATGGGCTGATATATCAGAGTCAAGCTCTTACTGTGCCGGAACAACATAGGGGGAACTGCTGCTTTTTCTTTCCTCATCCCTACTATCGTAATTTTTCCTCTACTTTTGTATGTTTGTCACTCTCTTGTGAACTGCTATTTCCTGGGTGCCTTGAAAGTCGAACTCCCCTCGCGGCGGTGCTACTGACTGAAGTGTCTTTAGGCCATTCCCAAAGGGGGGAACATATCTCGTTCAAGCATAAGCATAGTAGAATTGTAAATGGGCTGATTCATGTCACGCTCATAGCTGTGCCTGATCTACAACATGGAACTGCTGCTTTTTCTTTCCTGATCCTTACTATTGTCATTTTCCTCTACTTCTTTTGTATGTTTGTCACTCCCTTGTGACCTGCTATTTTGGGGTGCCTTGATAGTCGAAGCAGACCTTGTGCTGTTGAAGCTAGAGAAGTGAGCAGTCTAAGTTGATTCCCTGTAAAGATTTCTCTGTTGACGCCCGCCCCTTGGCGTTCATATGACCTTATGCAGTTGCGAGCGCCGTAAAACCCTCTACTATTTTTTTAAAAAAATGTTTTAAAATGAAAGGCGAATGAAGCAGACTGTGCTGTTGAGGCCAGAGGGATGAGCTGAGTAAGCCTGAAACCCTGTTTGGACTTCTCTGTTGAAATCCACACTTTGACGCTCTTATGAACTTATGCAGTTGTGAACACCGTAAAAACCTTACTTATACTAAACTTTGAAATTGATCTGGTCTTCTTTGATGCAGGAGGAAGAGTACCAGCCCCCGCTTCCGACCCAGCCTCCCCCAGAAGTTCCCCATGGAGCAGTGAGCACCCTAGAGGAGCACTCGGTCGAAGTCCAAGAGGTGAGCATTTTTTTCTTAAATGTTCAGCCTTACGGCCCCAGTCAAATATATTTCCAATTTCCCTCACTTGTGTTGTTTCTGAAATAAGCTGAGTTTATTCAAAGCTTAAAGGGTGGATACAACCAGTGTGTATTCCATTTTCTACTGTTCCATATGAAAGAGATTTGACTAAACAGGGGAGGTGGAGGGATGTGTAAACTTTGCGTTGATGCACTCAAGTAAGACATTTCTTTCATCATAAGGAGCAATATCTATGTACTTTTGATGATGAGGGTTAAGTCCACAGACACTGTTTCTCTCTCTACAGAAAATCTCAATGGGTATTTGACCTATAGTCTCCTCAGTCACATGTTTGGTCTTTGGTCTTTTGAACAACTTGTTGTTTTCATCAAAACCATCCATTTGTGATTGTCTGTCTGTAACATTAACAAATAGTCAAAATTATCTGTCTAAGTTGTGTGTCTGTTGTGCCTCTCTCAGCCCTCCAAACTGGACTTGTCTCATCATGAGCAGGAAGTTGAGCAGTTGAGAAAGGAGAAGGAGGAGGCTCTGGCTGAGGAGATGAGAAACACAAAAGCTGGTGAGTCACGATCCTTATGCTCGCAGAACTTTTGTACTTGTTATATACACGTGTACACATGAATGCACACGCACACATAAATGTGCGTGTACTGTCATTTACACAAATGCACATTTGCAAATGAGCATGCACACATTCATGCTCACCTGTATGTACATAAGTGCAAGCATACTTGTGTATACACCGACTCGCACACATGGACACACTCATCTACACCATTGAAAACAAGATGATAAAGTATTACGGGTCAAGTCACTTTTAAAAATAGTTTTTAATTATCTTAATCCATATGTTTTGTCTAGGAAATAATGCTCTAGTCATCTTTCTTATCGATATTACTTCTACGATTATTTTTATTGTTCATTTTTATCATCTTCATCAATATTTTCATCATTAATAATAATTATAGTTATTTTCCTCAGTGTAATCATTGTTTTCACTTTTTAAGGATTTAACTAGAAATGATGTTCGATTGACAACATCATCATTGTCTTTTTGCTTAACTAAAAAATTACTGCTATTGTTGTTATAACCGTGTTGCTGTGTTCATCAACAGCTTTACTACAATTCGTTATTGTGTTTATTTTCTAACTTCATTGTGAGTATTGGCATCATTGTTATCATCATCATCCTAACCACCGCTGTAACTGCTGGCTGTCCCCAGCACTGGATGCCATGCGGAAGGCGTACGAGGAGGAGCTGGGTCAGGAGAAGGCCAAGTACAAGGAGGCTCTGGTCACTATGTACACAGAGGAATATGTCACCGAGATACGCCTCCGGCATCAGTAAGTGTGTGTGTGTGTCTGTCTGTGTGTCTCTCTCTCTCTCTCTCTCTCTCTCTCTCTCTCCCTCCCTCCCTCCCTCCCTCTCTCGTTGAGTTGCCAGAAGAGTGCGGATAGCCAACTTGGGATAAATTTTGACCTTCCACACTATTCCTATGTGGCGACACAGTGTTTTTCGATTCGGCTTCAACTTTTTTTGGTCTTTTTCGAAGAATCAAAGAATGTATATAGTGTTTATATGTAAAAAAATGTATGAGCTGACAACATGAAAATATACTGGTGAGTGGCAATTTTTTTGTTACGTTTTGTCCTGTCCCTTTTTTGGATCAAATGTCTCTGTTTTTGGCTCTAGGAGTCCCTAATTCAGGAAAAGTGGATTAGGCAGGCCTGGTCTCTCTCTCTCTCTCTCTCTCTCTCTCTCTCTCTCTCTCTCTCTCTCTCTCTTTCTCTCTCTCTCTCTCTTCTCTCTGTCTTTCCTCTCTCCCTCCCCCTCCCTCCTTTCTTCCCTCCCCACCTCTCTTTCTCTTTCTCTCTCTCCCCTCCCTCCCTCTTTCCCTCCTTCCCTCCCTCCCTCCCTCCCTCCCTCCCTCTCTCTCTCTCACTTTCTCTCTCTCTCAGAAGGAGGAACTTGTCACGATGTATGGTTACGCCTCGAAGATGCAGGTCAAGCATCTGTGAATGGGTGCATGTGCATGATGGTATTTTGCTCTGTTTGAGCTGGCAGTCAGTGTGTAGTTTTCATTATCTTGTGACTTTCACATAATGAGTTTTTTGTTCTGAATTCAGTTGTTTCATACTTCAGGTGAGAGTGCTTTCTAAAAGACACTTACAACTTTTAGTGAACTTCACAAAAAGGAAAATATTCTTAATTGTAAGTGCTGTGAGAGTTGTTACATCTTTCTGAAAGGTAGAGCAATCCATAATCTCCCAACTTAGTACACAATCCCTCAATCAACATCTCAACCGAATTGGTGTAAAGCAGTCTGCTGCCTGCCCACTATATGACTACCCCTCAGAGACAGTGGTACATCACCTGTTCTTCTTTACAAAACAAACTAATTTGAGGGGATGTTTTCTTCCACACATCTAACTGCCTCTACTCCTCAAGACAACAATTAGAACAGACATGCAGCTATTACAGAATGGAATCATGCAGAACTGTTAACGCTCAGATGCTATTGGATTGCTAACAACAACAACAACAACATCTTTCTGAAACAGCCGACATATTAATTGAGAACGTTGTTGAAATTTTTTTTAAAGGAATTAGTTTTAGAGTAGAAATAAAATGCAATCTCATTTCGACTGCTCTGTGTAAGACTCCTTCATAAATATTTTTCTTACTAGTATATGGTGTATTCTTACACTAAGCAGTCCATCTGTAGTTTGTAATACTCAGTAGGGGTTTAATCTGAAAGCGATCTGATCTCATCACTTTTTTTGTGTGCTGCAGGGAGGATGAGGAGAAGATGAGTGAAGAGCTGCAGAAGCTGAACATGCACTACTCGAGCAAGTGTGAGGACTACAAGCTGCTGGAGATGAAGCTGCAGCAGACCAAGCAGGACTTTGAGAGCCACATCAACCAGCTTATCTCCAGGTGGGGGCTCCATGCTATACTCACTTCACTTCAGAATAAACTTGGAGTAGATAATTACTTTTCACATGAAATGTCATTGCCTCTTGCTCCAACTTGTCCATAGCGTGAAGTTACTGAATGAACCAGTGGAAGATGGTCCCCAAAAGTTTTTGTTTTTCCTGTTTTAACTGTAAATATGTGTTTTTAGTTAACTGTCAGTTTTTTAGTTCTTTGTTTTTGAATAACTTGGAGACAGATGTGCATATTATGTTTCAGTTAGACATTTGGATGCCTTGTAACAATACAAAAAAAGCCAAACTGTCGGTTAACTTAAAATCTTCCTGGTCTATGTAATCTTACAGACTTTGATGCCAATGCAAAGATGGTGGGACAATATCGTGCTATCAAGACACTCTATGTTGTTTAGGTTAGAATTAATCAATCTCACCCCTGGACAAACAGTCACATCTTTGCACTTATATAATCTCCGCTACAATATGATGAATACCCTCTTTCTTTTGCTCTCTCACTCTGAGAAATGTTTCACTTTACACTGTCTATCTCTGTTTCTCTCTCTTTGTCTCTATGTCTCTGTCTCTCTCTTTTCCTCTCTCTTGTCTCTCTGTCTCCCTCTGTTTCTCTCCAGTCTTTTTCTCTTTTTCCTCCTTATCTTTCTCTCTGTCTCTGAATGCCCTTGACTCTGTTCCATCTCTCTCCAGCAATGACCATCTGGAAGAGATGCTGAACCGTGAGATTGACAGCCTGAAGGACTTCATCAAGAACAAGCCGTCCACCACCAGCATGACCACGGGCTCCGCCACCATCGAAGAGGAGCTCTACGACGCAAAGGTGTGTTGGTCCCTCAAAATTCTGCAGATCAAGGACAGATAGTATGAGTTTTGCTCCATTTTCAGCACAACAAGGTTTCTTGAAGGGCATGACCTCAAGATTTGAATGTTTGTACCTGGTGTTCTAGTGAGGTCTGCTGCTTCTCCTCATTTCTATGGTTACCATTGTCCTTACCTGTTCTGGACGTGATGTTTCGGTTACTTGTCTTAAACTTTGACTCAGAAATGATATTTCTTACATCGCTACCTCAGAATTACAAAGTTGTATCTGACAATTTTGGCTGTTTTAATTTACTGAGACCATGAGGTCAAAAACCAAATGTTCAATCAGCTCCATCAAAACCATAAGATTAATCGGAGTCATCATCAAATTCAACTTACAATTTCAAATTCAAAGTATTGCATTTAAAAAAGCTTGACCTGATGCAAAACTAGTACTGAATAGATAGAACTTGGTAATTCTGAGGTAGTGAGATGTTGACATTTGTAAATATGCTTTCCATCATCTGAAGATTTTTTTCTTTGGCTACGGGAATGCTGGTTGTCTCAAGAATTTTTATATAGCTTTTGTTGACTGACGGTAGACGGAATTGTGTTTGGGATGTATTTCTTTTAAAATAACTGAACACTTTAGAAACATTGCATCTATATGTCGTAGTGGATCAGACTGTTGAGCCCATATGTCATATTCTCTCTGTTTTGTGCCAACAGATAATGGTGAGGGTGAAGGACGCTGAGCTTCAGAAACTGCGCTCTCAGGTGAAGAACTTGGAGAACAGCTTACACAGGACTACAGAGGTAAACTCTCCATTTTTGCCCTTTCTCTCATTTTGTTTTTGTGTTTACGTTCATGGCTACACAGGTAATTAAATTTCAAACACTTGTTTTGTTGCTGTTATTTGAGAATGCAGAAAAGACAACTTTCCTGTCACTTTTGTTGGTATTTCATAGGTATTTCTGGTTTTTGTGCATATTTCGACAATAAAACAGCTTTCCCTGGATATCTGGCAACTGAGTGTTACCTAGCATTTCGTGACTCATATGATGTCATTATGATCTGATGAGTTTAAACCATGTGACTACCATTAGTTCATAAGGATGCTGTTCAAACATCATTAGAGACCTCCAGGTCTTATTTCATTTTTAGAAAGGGGAAATCTTATCTTGGTGTAAACTTTTTTCTTAATGATGTAAATAAATTGTTGGTTTTTCACTCATTTTTTTGTTGAACAATCCTGTTACCATCTGTATATTCTATACAATTGGATTTGGGGAGTTTTTTTGCTTGTTAATCTATTCTCTTTTATTTTCAAATGAACTACTTCATTTTTTCAAAGACCATTTTTCTACTAAGTAAAATTTCTCCTGTCCAAATTAATTTAGGAAATTTCAACCTAAATTGTGTATGCTTGGATATACCAGTGAAAAAGTGGCACTTATAGCTTGTCATTTTCTTCTCTCAGAATCCATTTTATTGTTTGTTTACAATGACCAAGCAAGCAAGTTGCACCTTGTTTTAGCATCCTCTAGAATCTCCATGAGGGGAAGTAACTGTTTTAATGTGCAGATGTTTTGTGTGTTGTTGTGTTCAGGAGCAGAGACAGACGATGACGCAGTACATGCAGTCTCTGAAAACATCGGGAGAGATGAAGAAACAATTCCAGGAAGAGATCAATCAGCTGACGGAGAAACTCAACAAAGTGCTGGGCAGTCAGGGACTTAAAGCAAACATCCGCCGAAGTGAGTGAACCTAGTATAGGGGGAAACAGGCAGATTCTGAAAGTGGAGACAAGTGGGTGTATTTGTGTGTGGGCATCTGTTAATATATATTAAGTGTTCTCTTGTGTTTGTGTCTGTGTGCTCATATGTGTGCGTGGAAGCTCGTGGTGTAAGTCTGATTGTGTGTATATTTATCCGTGTGTACTTGTGTGGGCAGCAAAATGACTCAGACTGATTTAAGTCTGGCTGTATGCGGTTATTTTGTGAGGGATGAGGGGAACAAATTGACTCTGTTCTTCTCAGTCTTTTCTCCTTCGTGTCCACCCTGAAGATATTCTATCTACAAAATCCAGCGGGAATAAGATGTTAGTCCTACTTCTCTGTTAATCACTCCTCTGTTGTTTCTGATTGTCTAACTTTATCCCCAACGCTAAATGACTTGCCATGTCAGTGTGCTTCTCCTTAACTCAAACAAAAAAATGAGATGAATTAAGCAGTGCTTTCATTGTGCCCACTGGTTGCTGGTCTTCAACTTTTAAATCACAAAAAGCAGTAATGCCAAAATGTGCTTCTGGTTAGCGGTATTCAGGCACTGGATTTGTCTCTTGCTTTTCTAAATTTGACATGTGGGCTGTATTTTACTTTCCTGTTTTGCTTTTGAGAAAGGGCTGTCTCCTAGGAGAGCTAGGGATTAGCATACCTCTGTATATTTCCTTTTGTTTGTATCTCTTGTTATTTTTTAGTCCTTTTTTAGATGGATTATTGTTTGTAGGTTATTTTTTATCTTTTTATTTTTGGAAATGGGGAGGGGGTGTTTTGGATAACGAATGCTTACTCTTACTCTGTAAGATCTGTTTTGTCAATATACACTTTTATTTAAAGAAGGATCCAAACAACGGATGATAGAGGTCAAATATCATAATGAATAATTACTGCTTTGAATGTTTTTCTTTATGAAAGAACAAAAAGTAACTTATATTGTGTGTGTTTTGTGTTTGTGAGTGGGGGAGAGAGAGACAGAGAGAGAGAGAGAGACAGACAGACAGACAAACAGACGGACAGACAAACAGACAGAGACAGAGACACAGAGAGAAACATATATATTTTGTTCTCTTTGTTTTAGGTTTTTAAGGAACATTCAAAGACGTTTAGCTCAGTTTCTAGAAATGACATCCAGTCCACTGCCCCCTTTTTATCTATTTTACCTTTACTGTTTCCAGAGGATTACAGGAATGTTGTCTGTCCTCTCATAAGCGGGTTGATGGTGGTTGGAGGTCACCACCGAGAGCCACTACTCCTTTTTCTTCCCTCTGATCTTTCTGTATGTCTTTTCATTCTAGCACTTCATGGCCTTTGTTGTCCCAGTGTACTGTTGTGCTTCTCTTTAGCTCAAAACAAGTGGTTCTTTTAGTGTTAACTATTAAAACTTATTATATATATACTGCTTAATGGTTCCTTTCTTTCATGGTATTGTGTTGTTCTACTGTACTACTTATGTTATCAATCAGTGATTCTTATCATGGTGCTGTTGTCAAAGGGGCTTGTTGGAGGACGCCACTAGTTGGTCCTACTTCTTTTTCTTTCCCTCTGTTGATTCCGTGTGTCTTAATCTTTACCCTTATGAGATATGCCTCTCTGTTCTCAAACAAACTGCTGTCTGCTACTGTATAAGTGCTTTTGATGAACGATTGCTGCCCTTCAGAGTGCTGCATTCTGCAAATGTGCCTTTGATTAATAGCTCCAGTCTATGGTGGTACTGTTTCTAGCTTTTCAAATTCAGATGATTTGTGATTTCTATTTATTGTAGCACTGCGTTTCACAACTGGACATGTTCTAGAATGCCTGTATGGTTGGATGGGTTGAAGATGCCACTTGCAGCATTTTCTTCTCTTTTTGTTTTTTGTATTTTGAAAAGATTATTTACCAGCAGTTTGTGGCTGTGCTTTGCTTTTGTGGGTGGTCAGAGGGTGTGGCTGGTAGGCTGTATACAGTTTAATGCTGTGGTCCTGTCTGCTTTGTGCCTTTATTCAGTGTTACTATTATCTTTGTCTGTGGGTGGTTGGTAGCCACCACTGGTAGGTCCTACTTTTTCCTTTCCTTCTGATGTTTTTGTCTGTCTGTCTTACTTTGTCCATGCACAAAATGATCATCATTGTTTCAATGGGCTTCCCTTTACCCAGACTCAAGCTAGTCTGTTGTAGGGAAATATTGCCATTTTCTTGTCTAGTGGTTGTAAACTTTTAACTAAACAGCAGCAATGTTTTTGGTCTTGGGTGTCTGTCTGGTTGCTTTTCCCAGAAGTTCTGCCGTTATCTTTGTGTCAACATGCTTTTTGTTTACTCCAAAGAAACAATCTCTCCCCTCTGTACATGTGCTTACTCTGTGTACCAACATTTTATGTCTGTGCGTCGCCAGAGTGGGACTCTGCAGCCAGCCTAAAGGGTGACTATGATGACGGCTTGTGTTTTGCCTGACTCTCACTCACCCCCATCCCTCTTCCCTCCTCTTTGCGCCCCCAGCCCCAATATCCAATCTCTGAGAGTGACAGGAAAAGACACCCGTCCCCCTCCGCCTCCCAGTTCACACAGCGCATGCCTTGTGCTTGGCTTATTCACTCCCTTCACCTTCCCCAACTCCCCACCCCATGCTCACCCCCTCCCCAGGATAAGATGAATCAATTTCTATTCATTTTCAAGTTCCACCCCCCCCCTCCTGTCCTTTCACTACCATCCCCTTTCACTCGCCCTATTGCTATCCCCCCAAAATGCAATTGCAGGTTTTTAGAATCTTCAATATGTCCAAAAGCAAGTTTTAAACCCCCCAAAAATCTTCTTTGTAATTACACCTCCCTCAAATATGTCATTTCTGGGAATGGTTATAGCTTTCTGCTGGTGGTTTTGTTAACTTTTAATGAGTATGAATAGGTTTTCTGAGGCTGGTTTTAGACATGAGTGGTATAAGGTGGATTCTGGGGGACCCATCTATTCAAATTTGTTTCTCTCCTCTCAATCACCATCTAGCTAGATGAACGTAGCATTGGTGCTGTGGTGGTGAGGCTGTTGGGCTCACTACCAAAAGGTCTTGGGTTTGAACCACATCAGGGGCCTGAAGTTGTGCCCTTGGAAAAAGCTCTTTATTTAAATTTTCCTCACTTTTCCAGGTGGGAATGGGTGTCCGACTCTAAATAGCAAAATATCTTGCCAGTTTGTTAGTGTAACCCTATAGGTCCACTGAGACAGACACGGCCCAATCTTTTGTCGGGGGGAAGAAAATGGGTCAGGTCGTTTCCGTCTTGTGTGTCCACCAGTTCGAACAAGATGCATCAAGACTGTTAGCCTACTGGCCATATTATTCCGCACACTGTCTCTAGGCTTTGTCCTCGGTACAGGGCTATAAATAGTCGAGGTCAATTAACTCAAGGCGGGAATAAGAAATGAATTGTTTTTTAAAGGAAAATTGGTAAAATTGTTAATATGCATTTAAACCAAGTGGTTTGCGCGTAGACTGCTAATTTTGAGACGCTGATTACGAATATGACATTACAATTTTAATCCGAACTCAAAATTTGAATTTTTTTTAGCTCCGGCGGGCCTATCGCTCATGAGTCACGACCCGACCCGGCTAAAATTGAGCAAACGGCTTTCAAACCGACACGTCTTTTGTCAGGGCGTGTCATGTCTGTTGACACCGCCAAACGGACTTTTCAATGATTTCTTAGGAAATTAACGGTGCTCCATTTCAACTACCGACTTGCCGAGAGACGGACGGAGTCGGGTTGGTTAGTGTCCGTCACAGTGGACACAGGCCCTGAGAGTGCTTAATCGGCTGTATACACTGTATGCTTTCTAGGCAGCTGAGAATGTTTATGAGTGTTCTAGGGTTAGCTGGGGTAGTAATTTAGGTTGTAAAGTGCATAGAGTTTGCTGTCAAGCAGGAATATGTGCGATACAAATGCTATTTATTTATTTATGTGTAGTTAAGTTTGCACTGGACGATACAATTCACTTCACCTGCAGTTATGCTTTAATTTTCAATGAAGTAGAAAAAAAAGCTGTGTGTGATATTAGTTATCATTAGGGAAAGCCAACGTTACTATTTTTGTCATAACTTTTGTCTGTAGTTGAAATATGGATATTAGATTAATAAAAGGAGGAAATGATGAACCCATGGTCATAATGCCTTTTTAGATGGCGAAGAAAGGTAACTTTTATGTGTCTTTGTGGATAGTAAAGTTGATTTGCAGTTGAGTATACATATGTCATACAACATTGAGAGCATATGGTATTACTGTATACAAAACACCTACATTCGATTGAGTGGTCAGTTTTCTTTTTACTTTTTGTTTTAAAAAAATCAAAAGTAGTGTTTTCATTTGATACTTTTTAGTTCATTTATAGGGAAATCTTGTTGTTAGATGAAATAATGAGCTGGCTGTGTTGTGTTGTTTCGGGTGGGTATCCCTTGCCTAGTGTTCTGAACTTCTCTCAGGTGATGTGGTTCTTCTCTTTTGAACACCCCCTCCCCCTCCCCTCCACCACCCCTTTCCCAACTCAGTTGCTCCATTCCGTTCTCTCCAGCTTTTGCTCAATTTCAGTCCAGAAAAATTGTTTACAAACTATTCTAGGGTCTGCTGGGCTGAAATGTTTTCACTGTTGATAGAATTATTTTAGTATTGATGAAACTGGTGACCTTGATTTAGTTGCAATTGAGCTTAATACTGAGTGAAGTAAAGCTGTTTGTGGCATTTACAAATTCTGTAAGTGTTGTGGGTGATACATTCTGTCGTAGCTGGGTTGGCAGTTCAGGTTTTAATTGTTTTTATTTTCATCTGCTTCCAGGGATGTAAATCTTTCGGCTTTTTCCGGCCGACTTGCCATTTAAGCCCGGGCTTTTGACAAAAGTCTACGATAAAGAATACATATTGTAAATTCTAAATAGAGATTATTTGTTATAATACAGGGAAGGAAACAAATATAATTTAGTCTCACTATTTTCTTATTTCAGTCAGTGCGCGGGCACCGTATGTTTTCCGGCTTTTTTTTCAAAACCAGTTTACATCCTTGTGCAAACTCAAATGAAACACATTAAAATAACACTTCTCTTGTGAGGAGTATTGTGGTCCATTGGCCACGTAAGTAGACCCATAAATGTGTGTACATACACATACGTACCCACAAGTACACGCACACAGCCCCCCCCCCTCTCTCTCTCTCTCTCTCTCTCTCTCTCTCTCTCTTTCTCTCTCTCTTTCTCTCTCTCTCTCTTTCTCTCTCTCTCGCTCACACATACACACACACACACATCTCTCTCACACCCACACATCTTTCTCTCTCTCTCACACACACACACACAATCTCTCTCACACACACTCTTTCTCACAGACACACACATACACCCATTCACACACATACATGCACACACACACACACACACTCAGCAGAGGTCTTCGTTGATAACAATTTATGATTTAAATCTGAAAATGTCTTTCAGCCATTTTTTGTTCCAATTTGTCTTTCCCGAAAAACTTTCACTTCTTGAGGTTGTAATGTTCAGCTGCAATTTTTTCCTTCTCCTCCCCTCCCTACTCACTCCCATACTGAAGGAAAAACCAGACGTATTACCATCAATGCTATGCATGGCTGTGTGTGTATGTTTGTGTGTTTCAGGTCACCACAAATCCATCAGTGATTAGCATATCCAGGCGTGTGTGAGCTCTGGCTTTTGAGTTCTCTTTTCTCACTCAGTCCATTGGCTTTGATTTAGTTGTTCTTATTTCTTCCTTCTTTTATTTTACTGATGCAACAGTTTGATTGCTTCTGCCTGATATAGAGAAAGAAACAAACAACAAAGAGTAAATGAGGTCTGGTGTGTGGCATGAAGGAAAGTTGTGCCATGTTTTTTCTTGTGTTGGTCTTGATGTTTACTTAGAACTTAAATACAATTGTTCACTTTTTGTGTATTTGAGTCTTTTTCTGTTTCTTATGGGTTCACCTGCATTTTTGTGCTATTCTTTTTTGTTTTGGTTTATATTCAGGTGAAGTTGTTTAGTTTTTTTTTGTCAGTTACGAAGTTGGTAAAGCATGATAAGAAGACTGGCGTAATAGTGCGTATGACCAGCTTTAAACGGGTTTTATTTAGATTGGATTACTACCTTTTTTTCTCGTACTTAATGTTTTCAGTGCACCATAACCCAACCCTTGCTTCTTGTCTGACAGCAGAAAAATGTTTGTACTTTGAGCATTTGACTCATGGTTGAAATATCTTTTTAAGAAATAATGAAATCAATGACAAGTCAGAATGTTAATGTTTACCTGCTGAAATATGAATTTGGAGACCAATTAATGAATTGTGTCGCATAACTTTCATATAGTAGAAACAGCTAGGGCCTACCAAATAACACTAACAGCCCTGATTGAGTCTGTCAATATGAGTGTATGACAGAACATTTTTTTCCTGCCTTTCCCACACCCCTCTATGCTTGTTACAAAATTTGTACTTCAACAGCAGCCCCCAAATTTTTCTAGAAAATGTTCCATAATCATTAAATTCAACAAAATTAAAAGAGCATTGGCACAGTACAAAATTAGATTCATTTATCCATTCATTTCAGGCAGTTTTGCAGCCCTAAACAGAAGTCAGTACATGTAAAATAAATCATACACATTATCCAAAGTCACATTTGTTGTTCAAGGGGGCCTCTGATGAGTCCTATTTCTGTCTTTGACTTGTGTAATTTTGTCATATCTCCTGTATTTATGCCTTGAGAGTGTCAATTTTGCTTCTCGTCAGTTTGACATACCTACTTTGATAAGATATGACTGTTTTATCTGTGTTTAGGATCATAATTGCAGGAGAATGTTAACAGCACAATCTTTTCTCAGTGCTCTTCTTTACTTCAGGCTGAAATCAGATCACATGATAAAATGTTACCAAAGTTTTGTGAGTATAGTCTGTATCATGAATTTCTTTAAATGCTTACAAACGTTGTTGACATCATCTTTTGTGCAGGTGGTTGGAGGGCACCACTGGTCTTACTTTTTCACTTTATCTTTGTTCTTTTTGTCTATCTTTCTTTTTCGCTGCACTAAGTGACTGTTATCATAATCACTGTTCTGATCGTTATTGAAACTAAAATAATCTTTTGTGTCTTCTGTCTCTTGTCCTTTCTGAGCTAAGATGGCGAAATGTTGCTTTTGATTTCTGTACTGATGTCGTACCCTGTGTCCACAGCGCCCTCATTCCACCAGCGTGCCAGAAGCCCCAGTCCCACCAACTCCCCGTCTCCTCGCAAAGAGAGCGACCACTCAAGTCGTGACTCGCACCGTAGACGACACATACATCCCAAAGGTACGGTGGTGTTTTACTCAACCGAGCAGCTCTTGGTTTGCAGTAGAGACGGGCGGGTAGCGCTTTTTCCTTCCCGAGCGAGAAGACCGAGAAACTGACCTATTTCTCGCCGAGACCGGTCCCGAGAACGAGAAATACTGCCCGTCTCGTGTCTCGGGCAATGCTTCTCGTCTCGTGACCAATTTCTCTTCTCGCCCCGCAGTTCGAGCCACTCGTTCAGCGAGAAGGCCGGCCGTGGCCGAGATTTCTCTTCTCGCCCCACAGAACGAGCAGCTCGTTAAGCGAGAAGACCGTCGTGGCGGGGATCTAAACTTAGATTAGAAACTAGGCTAGCCCTGTTGCGCAGGTGCAGGCGGTGAAGGAAGGTAGGGAGACAACCTAGGCCTAGGCCCTGATCAACTCCCCACTCGCCTCGTCTCGCCACCCTCTCCCCTCCCTCTCCCCTCCCTTTCAGTTTCACACACAGGACGGCACGGTGATGGGTGGCACTGTCTGCGTTGTCATTTCTCGCCTCTCACTCTCTCACTCTCGTTACCGTTACTCGTTATGTCAAGCCAACGGGCAGTATCACGTCTCGGTACGGAGCAGAAGTTTAGTGCCCGGGCAGTGACGGGAAGGCCGTTACTCGCGAGAAACGAGACTCGGCTCGTCTCGTGCCCGCCCCTAGTTTGCAGCCAATAATTGCGGTTTTTGACTTTGTGCACACCTAAGCCTAATTTGTTTGAGAAATGAAAGTTTGTTTCTTCTTACATAGTTTGATTGCAGTTTTCAAAGAACTTCTTTTGTGTGATTTAAAGGAACGAAAATACACTTGTATTCTTTTTCTGCATTGATCAGTAAAACTCTTTGTACATATTCTGCACATTCTGTAAATCATATTATTATAATATTAATCTCTGTACTGTATGGTTAATATTATCTAAATGATGTGTCTGTTGACTTCACCACAGATCTGAGGAGGTCAAAGAGCAGCCCTTCCTTGCCGTATGTGTTTGACGGCAAAGCTTCCCCTGCTAAATCAGCGGCAGCAAAACTAGCACGGAGGTCAAGGTCACCAAAGACATAAGGAGATAGTGGCACATGTGTATGAGATAGGAACTCAGAAGTGTTATAGGGCATGGGAGAAGGTGGAGGTTGTGTCCTTGGCGTGAGGAAGAGGGTGAATGTGTTGTTATGCTGTTCTGCTGTGTTGGGACATTTATGAGTCAAGAGTCAGAGTGTGATGTGTGCATCTTGGAGGAAGTGCAGACACCACGGGCACTCATTAGCTACTGTGTTGTTGAGTGTGTCCAACCTACTGTGTTGTTGAGTGTGTCCGACCTACTGTGTTGTTGAGTGTGTCCAACTGGCTCCTGGTGTGTCACGTCAGGGACAGGGAAGTGGTTTCTGCATATGGGAGGAAGTGCAGACACCACAAGCTCATCACCAGATTCTAGACATGAACTTTGCTTTCTCAAAGGTGTCAGACTTGTAGTTTTCATTATGTATGCTCAGAGCTGTCTTCCAAATTGATGGTGGGAGTGAAAGAAAAGATTTTAACCTTACAATAACATCCTTGTTAAAGTATTCTTTAAAAAAATAATTTTAAGCTGAAAATGTGAAATAGAACTTGAAAACTTGGTAAAATTTTTAAATTTTGGCCTAGTAATGGTAATATTACTGATACTTTGTAGGGGAAACAATGGTAGACTGAAATAAACAAACTGGATGTGAAGAAAGGCCTGCTTGTAGTGGTGGCTTCCAATTATCCATGCCCCACTTTTTTTTTTTAGCATAGGTGAAGTCGGGGTTTTTTCCTCCGTATTGTCAGTTTCTAAAAACATTTTAGGAACCAAAAGAGAAAGGTGTAGATGAACATGTTTTTAAGCATCAATTCTGATATTTGGTCCACCTGGAAGTTTTTATGTCATATTTCAAGTGTACAGTGGGCCACTTATGGAAAAGTTAATGGTTTTCTGTTCCTGCTTTATGGTGTTTACTTTTAGTGGTGTTTACTTTTAGCGAGAGTCGGACAGATTTTGTCATCAGTTTCCAGTCATCAGCTGTGGCTTTTAAGTGTAGCAAGTGGATATAATCAATTATGACATTTATATTGTGAGAGTCGGCCCAAAAGTTTGAGTCGACAGTCTTGTCTAAATGCTATTAAGAGCTCCCAGTCCTTCGAGTTTTCAGTCAAGAGGACAAGTCTGTTTCCAGGTGTGGGAATTGTTGGTAAACCTGAAAGTACCAATGTAGACCTTGGCTGATGGAAGGCTCCTTTGGGAAGTGTAGATTCCACGCTGTTATACAAGGAATGTTTTAAACTTTTGAATTGTGTGTAAGACCTGAAAAAAAGTTCATTGATATTGTTTTATGGCTATTTAGTGATTGGAAAAAGTAAGTCAGAGGTACAGAAAGGACAGAGGGATAATAAAGAAGCTGGACCCGCCTTCAGTGGCATGGTCTGATCACCTGCTTAGTCGCTTTCCTGTCCACACATACCATGCTGCTGACACCACTTGCCCATAAATATATTTGTCAACGCACAATTCATGTTATCACTAATTGGTTATTTTCATGTTTGTCACAAATGTTGTATTGCTTGCATAGGGCTGCCTCAATTTGAGATATGAGCGTTGGTTTGTTCAGACATATCTATTATTTATTTCATCTAGAGGTGATTTGGTTACTTAACTGGAGAGGTTGTACTGTAAATTAAGTGTAAGGGAGAGATGAGAAGGGACATAGACATATCATTGTAGTTGTGGCGGATGAGTTGATGTTTGTTTTGTGATCTCGTGACTTTTTTTCTTCTTTTTTGTCTGTTTTTTTAACATATGTTAATTTTGGTAGTGATCATACAAATAGAAACCAGCTGAAAGATGTAAGTATCTTGCATGTGTATGATTTACACCACACATTTACTATGTGGAATCATGCCCGTGACCGTACTTGTGAATGTCTGACACCGATTGGGTCGCGTGTAGAATGTGAGTTTTATTTTGATACCAGTCATCAGTCGCAAATATTGAGTCATAGGTGACAATCTACACATGCCAGCAAAGATCAATCTTGAACTCTGTTATGTTACTGTTCGCAATGTTATTTTTTGCCTGTGTACAGTCAGTGATGAACTAAAAATGTGCAGTTTACTTTTTAAGTATTAGTATTAATCGAATAGGTTGTGGTTTCTACCTCAACATACTATTTATATTTCCCCAGAGGCAGGTGTACTTAATGGAAATATGTGTCACAACGCGATGGAATCAGGCCCTCGTCAATTTTTTGGTATATGGAGTTAATGGTATTATCTTAAAGGCTGTTCATTTGCCTTGCATTTGATTAAAAAATATCTATTTATCTTGAATAGAAGTTGAAATATTTGCGATTGAAGGAGGTGGGGTCGCCTGGTTTCAGAAGTAAAATTTGCGAGAAAATGGCCACCAAAGTTTGGTGACTTCCATAGCTCAAGAGTCCTTGGAAATGCAAATTTACATTTTTCGTGCCTTTTAATCGTTTTCCATAAAATCCACTCACAAAAGTGTTTTTGAATGGGCATACAAGGTGTTGAGCCACAAAACAAAAAAAATTTCAAATTGACCGAAAAATGCCGATTTCTTCAATTTCATTATTTTGACGAGCGCCTAATTTCACCATGATGCCTCACATATAGACTGGGGTTAACCCATATATTCTGTGTTGCAATGATCTTAAGTGTAAAGAGGCTCAACCAACGGTGGTGGACATAAAAATAGTAATGCTGTTTATACTTGTTCGAATACTTTACTTGTCCCTTTTTTTTAAATGAACAAAGTGGTTAATTGTTTTTTTGTTTCCTATTTGGTTGCTGACTGGAAAAAGGTAAAGACTGCCTAAATAGAGTGAGTTATTGATTGTGAACTTAAAAAATTGAACAGCTGTGCATTCCAGATCATGTGGTGTGTCATGTGATTGATCGTGCCGAAGGTGTCGACGTGTGCCAGCTTTTAGCCTTCCATTTTCTTTTTCCTCTTTTTCCAACTTCCCTGTGCCCTCCTCTCCCTCTCCATTGATTGTTCCACTGTTTATCACATTCAGACGTCAAAAAGATTCGCTGGCATTTTTCCGTGTGGTTCACATTCCTTTTTTCCCCCAAGCCGAAGACTCTAGAATCCTTGAAACACTTTTACAAACAGTCCAAGTTGTAGTTTCACGTTTCTTATGATATAAAAAGTTAATGTATTGATGTTTGTATAGTGTCGAGGAGGGACGTGGAAGGAACTTAAATTACTTTTTTTTTCTGAAAGATTTTGTGCCAATCCAGTAAAGGGTACCAGCTTTAGTGAAATGCTTTTTTTTCTTCTCATTGTTAGTTTTGAAGCCATGTTAATTTGCTGATGGTGTTGATACTCTGTATAGTATTTAGTATTCTACTTCTACCTTGTTGCCAAATTGCGAACATATTGATCGACTGACTTTTTTCTTCTTGATTATCTTCTCTGTGGCAGTGACAGGCTAATACTAATGGCATATCTATGGTGTTCTGCTCAATCAGCTTCTCAGTGACACTGGAAGTTTTAAACTTTGCATAAAAATAGTTTCAAAGGCTTTAATTAAGTGAATAGACCTTCGTGTAGTGATTCAGGCTTTCTTCAGATCTTAGTCTCACAAAATACAAGTATGAGAAGAAGTCAAAGAATTCATTTTACTGCCTCCTGTAGCTTTTTCCCAGCCTTAATCATGCTGTTGCATCTGTGTCCTGTGTATGTAAGTATGAAGTTGTAACCAATAATGTGACTTAAATCGCACTTGTAATTTTTTTGTTCTGCTCTGCTTGTGAAGATCTCTTTACAACTCTGAGACTTACAAACTGACCAAGCTGTGTGCTCGCTACTATAATGTTCAGGGATTATGTCCCCTTTTACTGCTGAATTCATGTGTTTGCTAAATTTTCAAATGTTCAGCCTGAGCAGTGGCCATCTAATAATGGTCCTCTCGCCTTGTTTCTTTGTATCGCAGGGCTCTTACATATTGACTTATGACGTACATCGGACCACTAATCAGTTCCCACCCCCTATCCATTAAGCAATGTTTTGTGTCTATGAGATACATACAGGGTGGCCAAGTTCTTTTACATCCATACCTGTGACTTGAAATTTTGACTATGAATTTTACTTTTCCCCTGTGTTTTGGCTTCCATTCTGCCCAAGGCAATGAGCCAAAATTTGGCTGAGAACACAATGATCTTTCCTTTGTCATTAACTTTTTTGCTCTTGGGAAAGTGCAAGTCTGCTACTGCTATAGGTGTACAATGTGAACTTACAGAATAATATTGTGTTGCCGAAATTAAAATTGCAATATTATTTTTTTTAAACACTTTTGAGCCACCCTGGGTCTCTGTATGCCTTGTCTGCACAAATGCACTTGTTTTGTTTTGTGGTACCTTGTGTGTGATGGTTGTGTTCTTCTTTAACTTATACTTACCCTTTGTTTTGTACAGGAAATATTACAATTTGAGAGGTTGTTGTCTCTGACCTTCTCATTTTATATATATATATATATAAATATATAACATAATAGTACATAATGTGCAACCTTTTCTTTGTTTATTGTCTAGTGTTGTGACTCGAATAAAGGCATGTGTTGTGTGCTGCAAACATGTAATTTTTACCCTGCACTGCTGAGAGAAATTCATCGGTGACCATGGAGCAATATCAGGGTGACAAGTCACTCGGTGGCTCATCAAGTTTAGAACATTAAAAACTGGCACATCGCTGAGATAATCAGCTCCCTGTGCTTGGCCTAACATCCTGGTTAATAAAGATATCTAAATACTCTTGATTTCTGTTTCAAGCTTTATTTTGTTTTACTGTTGGTGGATGATGTTTATTTTTAAAATCGATGTGTGCGTGTGCGCAAGTGTGATAGAGAGAGAAGGGGGGAGAGACAGGAGTTGTAGTCACGGCACAGTGGCAGTGGAATTTTAGTTGCAGTGGGGGCCCTATCACATCAGGGTCATGGGGGTCAGCTCCCCGTTGCCGCTCTGTCTGGGCTGACTTCATTTTTGGTACTTTTCAACGTACAGTTTTAGGTGTATCCCTGTATTTATGGTAATTATCATCTAATGTACCCAAAGCACGCTTTTCTGCTCTTGAGACTCAAAAAAGAACGGACATTGTAAATGTAATTTGTCTGGTTATTTCGTTAGACGCACTGAAGTCAGCAATGGCAATACTAAATTGTAACATTTTTTTGACAAGTGTGAATGAAAAAAAATCAATGTAAAAAACGGCACGACAAAAACTGTCGAACCTTTGGAACATGAACTACATAACTTTGGTGCAGATACTCAGAAAAGATGGTATCTGCGCATATAATTAGAATAGAAAGCTGTAATTTTGCTACTTTATTCATCTTGCACACAATTCGCAATGAAGTCATTCCTCCAAATACAACTTTATGTGTCTAATATAATCGGGAATATTCGCATATTTTCTCAAAAGTTTATTGTATCTCTATGAAGAAGGGCAAATCGATTTTAGTGCCAGAATACATGACATCTACAATGTAATACACAAATATAATCTGTTACACTCCAGAAATTCCTTACTTTTCTTAAAACGCTAAGTCTAGGTTTTGTAAGTTGACTGAATAACAGGGATGACTTCTCATAATTGGATTATAAGAATAGTTTCTTGCTTTCTATTTCTAGTGACACTCGAATCAGCACCAGACTTTTCCAGCTTTTATTTTGGTTTCTATGACCATTTACAATAACTGACAATATTCTGATTTCTATATATTCATAAAAGTGTCCGCACATATTTCCGACACAATAACTAAGAATGAATGTGTCAGCTGTCATTATTTTTATTCAATTCAATAATGTACAAGAAGTGTATACCCAAGTATTTACAGTTTTGTGTTTTTTACACATCCTGTAACAGTAATATATCTTTCTTCGTTGTATGCAGGCTGCTGAGACAGCATGATTCATGAACAAACGCAGAGTAACTTTCTATTTAATGGTAAAACAAGAGCTAACAACACTGAGTGTCTTTTGTCAAAAAATGCAGATGTGCATCTTTCTTTTCTTATAATTATAACTTGATTATTACTACTTGCGGAGATTTAAGATTTCTCATGGTAAAAGACATGATATTCGTAGTCAGTTTAACACAGATTTTGGAGAGATCTGTGGTGCTGTTTTTAAATAAAACAATAATTTATTCATAAGTATGTAAAAAAATTGGACAAATTAAGTACTCTACAAACACTCGTCAAGAACAAAAACTTAGGCCCAGAAATTAACCATTCCAACGCAAAATTAATCTCAAGACATTGAGCTTTCAGTACATCAGTGTAATGGTTTGCTGGGTGGGATGGGGAAAAAGTAATATCGTTTCAAACTTAGACAA